CCTTATTCTATTTCCACTGGCCCTTTCCAATGACAGGGTTCAGGACACCATATCCCACAATTTGGTGACTTGGCATATTGATTATATTCAGCTGAAGGAATTTGAGAAATGGCAGGTACTGACAGGACTTTCTGATCTTCCCCTGAAGTAGGTCAAAACCCTCCTATGAGAGGTGAGCCCCTGTATCTAAGGAAAGGAGCATCTGTATCTTCCAAAATGGTCAGAGGAATTCAATGAACAGGCCTTGCTGTTTGCCCCAATTTACAACACTAAGCTCATAACTTTTTTGTTCTATCACATTGTTCCACTACATTTCACTCTTCCTCAAAGTAAGGATAAAAGCACTCAGGTTTAACTGCTTCTTAAGGTCTTCCTTTCCTATGAAGGCTCCAGTGTTACATAAAACATATTTGAATGCTTTTCTGTTTCATGAAAGGGGTCCCAGCCCAAATTTAGAAGGTTGGAAGAGAAAGATAGTCTGGTCAGTGTGTCTCAGTAGTTGAGCATCAATCCATGTACCAAGAGGTCACTGGTTCGATTTCCAGTCAGGACACATGCCCAGGTTGTGGGTCAGATCCCCAGTGGGGAGCATGCACAAGGTGAGTCAATGTTCTCTCTCATCGGTGTTTCTGTTTCTCCCTCCCTCTCCCTTTCTCTCTCTCTAAAATCAAAAAGAAAAAAGAAGAGAAAGACATTTTTTCTTTCCTACACCAGATTCCATGCTGGTGACTTCTGACCCAGCCCAGACACATGGCAACAGCCTCCATAAACCGCATAATAAGCCCTGTATTCTGTATCACTCATAGTGATTCTATTTTAATCAAACGTTGACAGATATACCATAGTATTGTTTGAATACACTTGGGGCATTATATTTAATAAGAAAAGAAGGTTGGGCGAAACTTCTTTTCCTGTTTTGGTGTCCTGTAATTTGCCTTATTTGATAACATGAATCAAAGTCACAATGTTTGCAGACCAGAAAGCAAGGTTCTATCTGCATTTCACAGACAAGGAAATATGAATTTCTAGTCATGTTAGCTTGTAGGTTATAGAGCGGTAGAGTGAACCCAAGTCTTCTGAAAGAAGCACAGAAAAGCCACAAGTACTTCACAAGCAGATTATGTACAAGTCAGTCAGATCAGACTCGGAAACGAAGGAATTGTGAAGGTTGCTCAGAGACTCATTCTTGTCAATCCAGGATGATACCTGCTTGTGAAAATATATTTTTATTTCTCTATGAACAATTTTTAATGTCTTCAAAGCCTTTTCATGCTTTTCTAAAGTGCCAGAGAGTAATTTACAGCCCAAGGATGGCTGCCTTCAGAGGTATTCTCAGCGTACTTTCCTCTACCACTAGCCTTGTGTTTTCAACATCAGCGATACATGTTCCAAAAACTATTGTGTTGTGCAAGAGATTCATCATCATCATCATCATAACATTAATCCTTAGTTAATGTTTGAAATGTATCAATTAAAAATGATATTGAAAACATGAGTACTTTTTACATTTTAAAAACTCTTAGTATAGCAAATGATTTATTCTGTGAAGTATCAGTATAAAAAAAGGCAGGTTTGAACTTGCTATTTAGAGCAAAGAAATTAGAATTTTAATGTGAATGGATCTGTCCCATCCAATCAAAGATTAATATGAGTTTTTTGTACTATCATTATACCAATTTTTTGAACTTCTTTTCTTTGGGTTCCAGAAATTGATCATTCAAATTTCAATTAACTAAAAGTATTTGAACTTCTTATTTGAAGAATTTATACATTTCCCCTTTAAATTTTCAGCTTTTTGATTATATTTTTTATTTCAAAATCATTGGTGAATATTTGTCTTCCTAGCTGTGGCCTCATGAGCCATCTTAACATATCATCTTTCTCTTTGCATCTATTGTAATTACAGTATCTCTTTGTCAACTAGAGTATTATATGGCACTTCCTTATATGTAAGCACATATCGAAGAGTGTATAACTCAGCAATGTAATTTTCTGAGGGTAAAATATGTGGTAGCCAGCCTCCAAAATGGCCCCCCATGATCCTTGCATTCTGGTATTCCCACTCTTGTGTAGTCTCCTCCAACATTAAATAAGACTAACTGTGTAATCCAAAGGGTTTTGCAGAATTGAAAGTGTGTAATTTCTAAGTCTAGGTCCTAAGAGGCATTATGGTGTCTACCTTGTTCTCCCTTGAATCACTCACTCTGGAGGAAGCAGCTGCCATTTTGCAAGGACACACTAACATTAACTGGGAGCCATGTGATCCCAGAACATATTTCAGATGTCTTCAGCCTTAGCAAATATCTTAGGGAAACCTCAAGGTATACCCTAAGCCCAAACCACCCAGCTAAGCCATTCCCAAATTCCTGACCCATAGAAACTGTGTGAAGTAAAAAATAGTTATTGTTGTTTTAAACCACTTACTTTTGAGGTAAGTGATATTCATATTTATATAGTGCTTGTGATAAACCAGGTTTTGTTCTAAGTACTTTAACTAAATTCACTTATATAATCTTCTTAATCTCATTACATATGTACTATTATTATCCCAGCCTTACAAGCGATGAAACTGAGACAGAGAAAGACTCAGTAACTTTTCCAATATCACACAGCTCGAAAAAGTGGTAAGGAAGGTCTGGATTTAATACCAGGGAAATCCAACACCAGCGTTCACATTCTTAGCTACTTCAAAACACTTTTGGCTATCTGGACAGGGCTGGAAGAGAAACAGTATAAACAGAGGTATTAAGCAGTGAGAGTATGTTTTTCTAGAGGACGAAAAACAGGGAAGAACATAATGATATGACTGAAAAACAAGGTGAATAAACTGAATTGGAAGAAGAAAATGAACTAAGCCAAGGACTTAAAAAGCACGCCAAGGAATTTGTACTTAGGCAATAGGAAATACTTGATGACATTTGTGTTTTATGCAAATAACTTTGGAGCAATGTTAAAAGAAAGAGACTAGATGAGGGAGACAAGAAGAACTTGCAGTAATCCCCTAAAAAAGAAAATCAAGGTCTGCAGTGTAGTAAAGAGATGGTGGTAATAAGAGAAGGGAGCAAATTTACGAGACACGGAGTAAGTTGTCATGGAGCACTGTGACTAATCAGATGCCAGAGGATTTAAAAGATGACGTGCAGGTGTCTTTTTGCAGTGAATAGATAGTTGGTTAGGTCACTAATAAATTTAGAAAACTGGAGTGGGAGACCTCATATAGAAGATGTGTTTAATAAACACTTCTTAAAAGAAGAAATGAAATAGTAGCAATACAGAGGCTATTTTTTTTCCTATCAGATGATATGCCAGTAAAACAGGCATTACCCACAGAACCTAATTACAGTGGTCCAAGAAAGTCTGCTGGGGATTAAAAGTGTGTCTTACAGTTAAGTAATCTAATCTGGAAGTCTAATAGGTAGCTGCTCATTTTATAAAGTAATTAAGAATAAATTCCTTTCAACAGAAAGTTCTGTAATGCACTTTTAAATCGTTAACTTTACAAATATTAGATTTACATGCAGTACTTAACAATATCTATTGTAAACATTAAAGAACTATAGTTTACGATCATATTTGTATCTAAAATTTTAAATAAATGAAAGTCTAAGAAAGAGAAGAAACGATGAAATGTCACAGTCAATGTAGGCTCACTAGAGTAATGTAAGTAATTGTTTTTCATTTTAAATTCTAGATCATAATTTTATATTATGGGCAGTTCCAGTGTTTAAGATTCTACATTACACAATATTCCCAAAGTACAGCATATTTAGAGTAGAGGTTCATGGCTCTGAATGAATAGCCCTTTTGCTTAGATTGATACCATGAACATCTCTCTAGATGTCAGATGATGATCACTTTAATCCAGCTACCAATGGTGCAAATGGGCAGGGTCATCTCAATCACGTCTCCATGTCAATAAACCCAAATGATACAATTTTACGATTCTGCAAATTTATATTTTTATTTCTTTTAACATAGCCATTTTCTGGCAGACATAGTGGATTCTTGATAAGGAACTGTTTAATGTATAAAAGACCATAATGAAAAATAGAGGGTTCTTGAGTGCATAGACTGCAACTTACAGTAATTATAGTTTCTGGGTCCTACTGATTAATCTGCTAGAAAGAAAATGAGGAGTGGGGGGTGGGCAGTATAAATATGAAGAAGCGCTTTAATAGGTTAATGAAATGTTTTTGCTTATGGTGAAAAGTGATAAGCAAAAACTCATTCATCTATTTATTTAATATGTATCAAATGCCTGACTAATTTCTTCCTTCAAGGAATGCACAGTCAATAGAGCATGCCAATGACAAAAATAGATTAATATAATTTAAAAAAATATAAAAAGACCTGAACAAAGGAATGAACGATATACTCAGAGACTGAATTGCCATTAATAAAATCTTTCTTCGCTTGTGTTTTTCCTATTTTACTTTAAAATACATGTACATTCAAGATACAATATTTCATTAAAGTCATTCTGGGAAAATCCTTTTAACACTCATTATTTTCAGGAACTCAAAATAGGATGTTTTGATGGGAGAAGCAAAGAATATATCTAAAAAGGAAGCTTGAAGCCAGATGGTAGGGGGACTTAAAAATACTTCACACTGTTTTCCATTTGTCTGAAATCTTTTCACTTTGTTTTATATTACCTACTGTAAAACCTACACGTTATCCTTTATTCCTGGTTTATAAAGTTCCAGTTCCAAATCGAAGTAGCTATCCAACCTTTTTAATCATTATCTTCATGAAATTGTAACATTCAGCCTTTGTTCAGCTCTACAAATAAGGATATCTGTTTTATTTGAAGTCAGTGAATATACTAGTCAAACAAGGAGGACAGATGGAAAAAGCAAAGAAGGAAACTAGACTTCAGTGACCAAAGTACATTTGTGGGGTGCTTTAATTATCACATTAAGGCGGGTGAAGAAAAACAAAGCCAGAAATGGGGAGAACACTGTTGATATTAATTTAAAACCAAATTTCACGGATCTTACCTGAAAAGTTTTTGTAATCCACTAAATCAAACATAACAATGGCAACAGCTGACCATGTGATTATCAGAGCAATGACTAGAAGCCAGGCTGCTGGGGAGCTGAATGTGGTCACTATGTCTTCTGTGACTGTCCTCTTCAGCACTTTTCCAGGGGATTTGGGCACAGATCCATTTTTGTTGTCTATAATAGTTGTAGTAGTGGATGCATTTCCTAACCAAATATTCAGAAAGGAGAATTACAATTTAGAAATTCACATCCAATATTAATGACAAAGCACAACAATACAGGTTATATAAGTATATGTAAGTTGCTTATACCATTTTACATAGTAGAACACACTCCTTCAGTGGCAGGATCATACCTCGCTGCCCAGTGGCACATGATCTCTTCCTAAGCATTTACTCTCTGGCTTGAAACCCACATGCTCTTATTCAGCATTCCTTGTCTCCCAAATTCCATAACTGCTGCCATCCAGGCCACAAACCTTACCATCACCTTGAATTTGTTTTTGCTTCTCCCTTATCGCCTCCTATATATCCAATACCTTCGTGGTCAATGGGTTTTTTTTGGTTAAGCTGTTTTTAACACCTTTTTTCTTTATTTAGGCTGCTATGTCAGTTCTAAATGCAAGCAAAAGTACCTCTTCTGGGAGAGAAACAAAATCAGTAATAAACTACTTTGAATGGATGGAATTCCTTCTAGATATCCTAGATTAACTGCATAACTGACCCTTTTCTTGAGGCCATTCATTTTTATTTGTGAAAGTGCACAGAAGAGCTAAGAGGACAATGTGAGAAAATCTTATATCCAGTAATTTTTTAATTTCTGCTTTCAAGAGTTTACACGTTAATGAGAGATAATTTTAAAGATATTTAAAAAATAGCAAAATAGATAGATAGGTAATCATTTATAATCTTACCACCCAGAAACAACAAATGCAACAATTTTTAGATGAAAATGGTAAATCTAAGCCCGTGTTTTTAAAAGGTTAGAAACCTGATGTGGAAAATCAGTAGTAAAATGATTTAATTAAGATTTTAAAATGGCTTTAGATAAAAATTCACAATGGTGCTAACAAATCTCCTTTCTTTTCTAAACACTATGTGACTATATATCCCAAGTTTATGAACTCAATTTAGTTGAAATGATAAGAAGATGGAAAAATACCTTTGAAAACAGATTTCACAGCCTGTACTTGAGATGGTGCTCCAAGAAGGAAAAATTAGAAAGAACTCATATCATATCCTCTCATTGATTTTTTTGTGCCAAATTCCCATCACTTCTAATGGCAGTTCTGAAAATGGATGAATGATAGGAGTGCTTTGAAATGTGATTTAAGACCCAAGTGGGGCTGTGAGTGAATCAAACCTTTGGAACAGTGATTTGCAAGAGAGTAAGTGAATTGTAAGTGCTTAGGAGGGGCCCACCTGAAAATCGATATGTTGCTAATTTCCAATGTTTTAACTTCCAGAAGGCTTCCTACTACTGCTCTATGGAGAACTCTGGAAGAATTGCTTCTGCACTTCAGATTCATCTCAGTGAACCGTGGATTAGAGAGTATTTCCGTAGAGAATATAATATGCACCTGCTTGGTATCTTGAAACTAAAAGAATAAATTTACTGAGATTTGATGTGAATTAATTGAATCCTGGTCACATTTTTAAAAGACAGAAAATGTTTGAAGAAACTAGTATTTCTATATAGTTTGTCTTTTCTTGATCAAAAAGTAATGAAAGTTCAGAGTTAAAATGACTTTTGTTTTTTAAAGAACTGATTATATATATAAATTTCAAATTTTATTTCACCTTTTGATCCTGCCAAAATGATTGTTACAATATTTAACATAGATGAAAATGATATAGTAAGTAATTTTTTTAATTTTTAAGTATTTTCTTTGTCTTCACATCCTCAAAATTGTCACTAAATAATTAATGAAGACTCAAAGATGATAAAAATATATTCTGAGTATCAACTGCAAAACCACAAGCAATTTGAAAGTCATCCTGCTTAAAGAAAATTATGTGTTGCTTTTGTTATGAAAACACACTAAGTTATACCTTTCATGTTTCTTTCAAATTTACTACGGAAGCCACGGAGCCAAGAGGAATAAAATCGAGGCAAAATAAATTGCTTTCTCTGACAGCTGGTCAAGATAAATGCAAACAGCAATGTGCAATCTGAGATTACTTAATATTTGAGAAGCCCTTTGAAGATGACAAGAGCTAGTTATCGATATGGCGGAAAACATGGATGGTAAATACTACTGAGAAATTTGACATGGGCCTTGCTTCTTGAAAGTTGTTGTCTCAGATAGAACTAGAGCAGTGATGATATGTAACAGTATTTTCTATCCCTGCTTTTTCATTTCATTGCTTCTGATTCTATACAAATTATTTTGATTGCCAGAAAGCTAGATTCAGCTTCAGAAGTGGGGCTCTGGCTGAAAGGCCCTGTGACTCTGCTCCATGAAGTAAAATGGACAGCTTATGCAGTGGTTCCCCAGACCAGCTTCACAGTCACATTATGCCTGGAAGAATAAATCATCAGCCTCCTGAAGGAAGTCACTTAACCTCATCATGCCTTGCTAATCAGATGAGGAAACTGCCAAGTGTATTTGCCCATCATTATTCCTATGGGACACTGGCAATACAATCTCTTCCAAGATGTTCAAGGAGAACACCTATATTCTAGAATGGTATAAATAAAGTGTATGTATATATATACATATACATATATACATATACATATATACATATATATATATATATATTTGCATTTATCTTCAGATAGAGTGAAATGGAGAGAGGGAAGAAGAGAGAGAGAGAAAAATCGACGTGAGAGAGACACATCGAGTGGTCACCACCTACACAACCCCAACCAGGGCCAGGGACAAACTGCAACTGAGGTAGGTGCCCATAGCGGGAACCAAATCCAGGACTCTCCAGTCCAGGGGCTGACGCTCTAACCACTAAGCCAAACTGGCCAGGGCTTGACCAGTATATTTGTTCCCCAAGAATTAGAGAACAAAGGAGAGAGAATATATACTATCATGGCATCATAAAAATATATTTTATTCCAAAATTGTGTTAAGAATCAAATTCAAATTATAAGAATAATCATAAATATATATTTTTAAGTCCTATGCCAAAAATGTGCATGTAAAATAGGAATTTTGGAGACACTATTGAAAAGATCTTTTGGCAAATTAGTTGAAAAATTTTTTTAAATCCATATTTTAACGTACATATTTCATCATTCTAGTTTTTACACAATGTATATGTATTATATACATAGATTTCTGTGACAATTAAATTATGTATTTCTATAAGTATATATAAACTGAAAGAAAACAAAGTTTGAGAAGCAAGATATATCATGGCAATTTTAAAAAATAATCCTACATGTTCTAATAGATAGATAGATAGAACATAAAAAATAACCTAGAGTAATTTTTACAAAAATTCAGATCCTAGGCACATAAAATCAAAACAATAACAACAAACACTACTTACTTTCAAGGTAAGATTTGCTTTTCTCTCAAACCAGAAACTAGTCCCTGGCCAATTTTAATGAAAGCTCTGAGTTGTCAACTTTTCTTCCAGATTTTGTGGGATGTGATTTGTAATGATATATCATAGAATGATTTGGTCACCTAATCTACCTGCTGAGGTGAAGAAATCTATTCTTATTTTGTACATCATTTAGCAATCCTTTCTGCCTACCCACTTCTTCCTTCTAATGTGATTTTTTTCCCTAGTGGTGAGACTAGAAATGAACATTGTCCTAACTCCCAGACCTAAGAATGGTCCTTTAACTCAAGCCTGGTCATTCACAACACCCCCTCTTGCCTGTGACAGTGAAGAAACCTCCACGTTTTTTGTGGAACTATTGGACACTCTCTTTCTACAAGAGTTGCTAAGCTGGTGGGGTCCTCCAGCCTCCAGCCCACCAGTTGGACCGTCTGCTGCAGCACAGAAAGTGGCAGGGTCCAGATACCGTCAGGTAGGCACATGGAGCCAGGTACATGTAGTCAGGTTTATCTCTGGACTTTCCAATTACATGGGAGTGACTGGTTTGATTTGGTTGTGTCTGCATTAACAGCCATGACGAGTTCTGACTGACCCTCTTGCTCTTGCTAGAAAGGAAAATAATTCTTTTCCTTCATCTGTTGTGTCATGAGGAGTAATCAGCTAGAATGGTCAAAATATACAGCTTCTTTGAAAAATTATTTTCACTTTAGAAAGAAAATATCGTTATCTCTTGTTTCTTTAGTGGCTGAGTTGTCACAGTTCTAAATAAAAAGATGTGTTTGGGGCTTGCAAGGTGAGTTGCTGACATTGAGGTGCTCGTACTAGAACGCGCTTGCTCTTGCTCTGGGTAAAGGAAAGGCAGGGACTCCTCCCTGGCAGCGGTGCCACCCAGTGACCTGCGGGCCGGCTTTCCAGTAGCTTTTATTGCAGAGTAATAGACGTCTCTTTGTGTATTAGCTCCTGTCAGCCCAGTTTCCCGATCTTTTGAACTTTCATTTCCAACTTGGTGGTTACTCCCCATTCAGATAGTAGTTTTCCTACCAGTAACAGACTGAATTGAAAGGTGAAAAGCAATGATGAGTACATAACTAAGAATTCATTTTTTGAAACAAAATGTATTGAACTTCTAATATATTACAGGTAAAATGCATTGTTTTACCAATTTAAAGTAGGCAAGGATTCTTGATTATTTTTTTCTATTAAAAAACAGTTTTATTAAAACTCCACTGTTGCTCTGGCCAGTTTGGCTCAGCGGTTAGAGTGTTGGCCTGCAGTCCGGAGAGACCCGGGTTCGGTTCCCGCTAAAGGTATATATCTCGGTTGCAGTTTGTCCCCAGCCCTGGTTGGGTCCTGTGGGTGGCAATCACTCGATGTGTCCCTTTCACGTCGATGTTTCTCTCTCTCTCTCTCCCTCCCACTCAATCTGAACAAAATATCAAAAAATGTCCTCGGGTGAGGACTAAAAAAAATAAAATAAATAAAACTCCACTGTTAACATGCAAATTGTCTTTCAAGAATTACCTTGAATGTCAACTCCATAATGCTATTTCCTTGATGTTTTTAAATGAGCATTTGCTCTTACTTGTGATGCTATAATATTTTTTGATAATGCAGTGGCACGAATAAAATTATTCTGACTTTTTCTAGCCCTTTGTTTTTCAATAAGGCCCTATGTTGGAA